TTGGATACAAAAATATTGTACACTGAAACACTTATCGGACAACCCTGTACATGGTATTCCTCAACTTATGACATTTGAGCCCAAAATTTCTGTTGTTAAGTGAGACGTTGAGTTTTACAACTTTTCTTGCCACCACTGTTAAGTGAACCACTGCAACTAACAAGTTAGTAGCCTGGTTGCTAAATGAACCTGGCTTCCCCACTGACTTTGCTTGTGAGGTCTCAAAAGGTGATCACATGACCTTGGGACACAGTAATGGTCATAAATATGAGCCAGTTGCCAAGCATTCGAATTTCGACCACGTCACGTTTTTCAGTGCCGTTGTAACTTTGAATGATCACTAAACTATTGTAAGTCAAGGACTACCTGTACAGTTTTGCCCCAAAAATTCCCCCCATTCTTTCTAATCCCATGTCTATAACTTGAGAACCATTCTGGATCCTTAGATGCTAACGAGACTTAACTCTGATGGTGGTGGTAAATACATGTATCCAAGTATGTTCTGGAATCAGCCTTTTTAAGACGAGAGGTGGGATTCAGCAGGTTCTGACCAGTTCTGGAGATCTGGTAGCAGAAATTTTGAGTAGTTTGGAGAGCCAGCAAATACCACCTCTGACTGGCTCTGCCCTCATCTATTTTCTGCCTCCCAAGTCCCAGCTGATCGGCTGGGTCTTCTTTGGTTGCCCTGCACAGGAGAACGGAGCTGGAAAGCAGGTTAGTGGGGAGGGGAGGGAATGGGATTTTGCAGTATAACCTTCCCCCAGGAGTGGGCAGGGAATGGAGATTTTACAGTATCCTTTCCCTGCCACACCCAAGCCATGCCCACAGAACTGGTAGTAAACAAATTTGAATCCCACCACTGTTTAAGACCAACTGGTGCAGGACCTGCCCAAATACAAGAAAACATCAGTGGAGGGGAAATGATGCTGTGAAACATCATTAGTCATTCCGAGTTTTAGAACTTGTTCACCCCATGGTGCATCCTGGATACTGCGCAAGTATGAACCAAATGGCATCCAAACAACTATTCTTTACTAACGCTGTAATCTCCTGGCTAATGTACCACTGCCATATGCTAAATGTCACTTCTGTTCTTGCAGTCATGTATCTAAATTTTCAATGTTCTGTGACAGTTTCCCAGCCAGTCTCATAATGCCTTGCTTCCTCCCTCATCCTGCAGGCACTTACCTGCCTTCCGGGAAGGAAATAGAAAGGAAGGGGAGATTCCCAATGCTCCTAGTCAGCTTTCCACAAGGAAACTCAATGGGGAAACCAGCAGGAAATCAGAAGTCACTCCTGATCCCACTGCTTTTTTTGCCCACTTTTAAAAGTCATTCTGTTTCTTTTAGGGACGGAAATATCACTGAAATGATGGCTCAATAGGGCACAGGTTGTCTAGTCATGATATATAAGTAAAATTCTTGACTCTATTTAGGAAGGGCCTAACTCTATATTTAAGGATGCAAATTTTTGAAGTACTGTATAGCACACAATAAAATAAAGCTGTAATAAAATCTATGTAGGGTGTTCTTGAAGATAATTTGAGAATTCCCAAAGCATCTAAGCAAGAATATATATATCCTTTCTGGATAGCAAATACTCAGAAAAATGACCATTTTTATTACAGTGACAAGTCCTGAACCCTCCTTTCTGAAAACATGAATTTATTGTATACTCCACAATTTTTGTTTTTAGAATAATTTGTTTAATCTTTTTTTGCAACAGATTTGCACATCTATTAAATGTACAGATAAGTAACTTGTTTGTTGCATATTCTTATTTTACATCACCAAAAGGCATTCTTCCCTATTAAAAATGCTATTGACGGGAAAGTAACTTGTATTCAATTCTGTCTACATTTAAAGACAAAAATACTGCTACGTTTGGCCATATATTTTATAACAACATCTAGGCTCTAATCTTTGCCCCCTACATTATTTAAAACTGCTTCTCATCTTGGCAAGAACAGAAATCAGTGGCTAAATGTCTGAGACTGGAGCTGGAAGAGGTGGGTGGGGAGATACATATTAATTTGCATGCAATTAGCTTCATTCATCTTTAAGAGATCCTGGGGAAATCAAAGTCAGTTCTCACCCCATGAGAACTCCTTATCTTTAGAATTCCTATGTAGTTGATTGTCTGTGGCCCCAACCCAATATAACAGACCATTGATTTTTGCAACCTTTAGTAACAATAAAAATAACATGGTATTTTTTACAGCTTTCTGAATTTTTTAAACATTAATAATTGCCAATGTTTTTTTAATTTAAATTTATTTCTGAAAACTTTGGATGTAATTTAATTCATTTAAATCTAAAGGTCTTTCCCCCCCATTTCTGACTGAAAGCTCCATCCATAGAAGAGTTTCTATTGCACATGCAAATTTTTGGAAAGTGCCTTCTTAATTGTCATGATATGAGGACAACTGTGTTCGTCTATTGGACAATCACTTACTTTGCTTGTTGTCATGCAATTAATGTGTTTTGAACTTGGTTGTCTTTTTTTAAAATACCTTGATATGCTTTCCTCCTTGTTTTTTATGTGTTTTGTTTTAAAGATGACACTGTCTAATTTCAATACCATGCCCTATTATCAGGTAGCTAGCTCCCTCTACATTCTGTAAATATATTTATTTAAACATACATATTTCATGCAAAGTATCTAAAATCTCCTTTACCCATTTCACTGTGCCATCTTCTAGTCCTATGTTATTAGAAATTACACCAACCCGCTAACAAACACTTCTATCTTTGGACTGCCGGAACAATAGATAGGAGAAATAGAAAAGGAGAAAAGAGTAAATACTTGTAAGCAAAAATGAAAACCAGACAAGTGGAATCATTATAAAATACTACTCTGCTGTGACCTGGATCCAATCCACTGTGGAGCAGTGCAATGGTAAGACTATATATATAAACATACCACAGGAAAACTATGGTGACTGTTATCACCCATGATGAGATCTACCACACAAGAAGCTATTTCTCACAAAGCTCTGTATGTATGTGTGTGTGTGTGTGTATGAACACACAGAACTTTGTGTGTGTATGTGTATGTGTATGTATATATATATATATATATAGGTAGGTGTGTATGTATGTATATATGTGTGTGTGTGTGTGTATAGATAGATAAATAGATAGATAGATAGATAGATAGATAGATAGATAGATAGATAGATAGATAGATAGATAGA